TGTGTGTGTATAGTGTGTGTGTGTGTATAATGTGTGTGTGTGTGTATAATGTGTGTGTGTGTGTGTGTATAATGTGTGTATGTGTGTGTTGTAGTGTGTGTGTGTGTGTGTACACTGTGTGTGTGTGTGTGTACTATGTGTGAAGGCCCGGGTCCTTCAGAGAGTAATCAGAAAAGAACTATGTGGATTTTTTAGGGGAATGGGAAATAAAAATGTAGAATTTCTTCCAAGAAGTTCCGGGAAGTTTGGAAATTCCATTTGACACAGTGGCCAGTGTGTGTGTGTGTGTGTCTGTGTCTGTGTGTATATGGAGTGATGAAAGTGTGTGTATGTAGGGGGAACTGACGCACAGGAGGCAAGATAAATAGCATAACTTGAGACACTGCATGCTGACGTGTCAAACACACACAAACACCACTTCATGGATCACTGAAAAAAAAAAGTCTCTCCCACACACACTCTGAGCTTCCCAGTCCTATATCGAGTGTGTATTTGCATGCCATTGTGAGAATGTGAGAGTATATGTCTGACCCCAACAATGGGACAAAATGGCTTCGCTCTCACCTAGCCAGAGCTTAGACGGCAGGTATGTAATTTTTTTTCTCAGCCAGTAACGTGTAATAATATATCAGTGGGAACCTCATGTGTATGAATTATTATGGTGAACTTTGTCCCAGTGGAATTAGTTGGCACATTATGAACGGTGGATAATTAAAGCACTGACGAGCCAACCTGTCAGAGCTTTTCACCGTTCACACATGCATGGCTGACAATTACCAGAGTCTGGCCGACTGCGTGTTGTCACATCTGCACATTATGTAACGGCCTGGTGTGTACATGCTGTTCTAGACAATGTACCGTACATATGTGCATGAGTTGCACAAGTGGGAGGTGTTGCAAAGCAAGTCATACAAGCACGTATATACAGGTAGATCTATAATGTCAATCACACCCAAAAACAAGAACACACACACACACACACACACACTTTAACACACCTGTTGCTGTTGCAGGTGTAGTAAATCGACTGGGCTGATCTCTCCGTTGGTGTCTCCGTTAGACCCGCCCTCTCTACCTCCTCCTCCATCTGACTGGCTGCTGAGGCTGCTGACTCCGTTCTGGTTGGACGGCGTCGTTCGAATGGTCTCAGAGGCTGATTCCACCATCATCACTGGCACCTAAGAGGCAGGAGGGGGGGCAAGACAACACACAGATTGAACAAAAGTGAACTGGGCAGTTTGAGCAAAAAAGCCTGCTCCCATCTGAGTGAACAAACAAGGTAGGAAACTAAAGTAAACACACGCAGAGATAGAGAAGTGAATTGTGTGTGTTTATGTGCATGTGTGTGTGCATGTGTACTTTGTGAAAAGGGCTTTTGGTCATGAACCACCCACACACAAACATGCCCAAGTGGCCACAAAACAACACCTGTAGCAGACACTTTTTTTAAAACATGTTAATGTGTGTTGGGGAGCGTACACATGGATTAGGATCAGACGTGCAGCAAATCTAAACTGACAAGGCTGTTAATACGCCGCGATATAGTTAAATAACACAGACATTTCTCCAATAATCAGAGGTGGCATGTGTGCGCCGTGTGAGAGCCATGAGCAGGTTGGTCTTTGACAAAGATCTGTTTGATGCACCTTCATAGGGCCCCTCTAATTAGAGCGTGTTCCTTCCACAAAACCCCGACAAAACGAGACGTTCCTGGATGTGTTGTTGTTTTTGAGAAACAACGCCTCGCAAACACACAGGCGCATTTGCCATCGTTAGGAGCTTGAGCGTGGGAGAGAAGAGACACACACATACACGTACGTGTGCAGAACCCACACAAGGAAGTGAACACAAAACAAAACAAACCTTCATACAAGCATGCAGTCTGTGAACTCCTAATGACAAGCTCAATCTCGTCTTTCTGCCTTATCCTGTTTTAGAAATTAACGCACAGAAGCGTGTAGTTTTTAAGGGAAAAGTTCTAATGCTTTTATTTCAGCAACCCAGAGTGGGTACACAAAAACGCCATCGAGGCATTGTACCCGCTGTATGTGTGTGAATGCGGGCGCTTTTCAGAGGCGTACAACCCATGCCTTCTGGGGAAACAATAAAAGGCATTTCATGAGAGAATCTAACTTTTCTTTTCCTCTGAGGCAAGAGCAGGTAAACCACACACACACAAATACACGTGTGTGTGTATTTGTGTGCATATATTCTTTTTCTGACAGCAGGTGAGGGTGTGAGAGAGCGCTGGTGGCTCTGTTAATGGAATGCTGGCAGATGCTTGCTGAGGGACAGGGACCTGAGCATTTTTGTGTGTGTGGGATATAAGTGTGTGCAGGTGGACGGGCTGGTGGGTGTGCTAGAGAAAGGGTCAGTTCACCAAAATCCCCAAAAACATATTTTTTCACAAGTGGTGTCCACCCATGCAGATAGTTAGGTTTTTTTTCCCAAGGTTTTTGAGACACCTGCTACTGAAATTTCTGCTGTTGCCTCAATGGAGATGAAAAGAATTTTGTTTAGTGCTACTCAATACATTAAAAAAAATGACAATTAAAAAATTCTACAGCAAATTGTTTTTTCAGAAAAAAATCCCCAGGTTACTCTGAAATAAATGAGGTCTATGTTAAGAAATGTGTTTTCAGGAAAGACACAATGCTGTTGAGTTTTTGAAATAACATTTTTCAATTCTTTGAGCCACACAAACAAAATTCCATTCCCTATCATTGTACTGGGATAGCGTAAGACGTGTAAGGCAGATTTCTCAAGGCCTGGGCACATAAAAATAAAAAAGGAATCTGTATAGCTTGATACCACTGAGGGTAAATGACAAAACTGGTACTTTTTAAATTCTTGAACTTGTAAACACACAAAATGGAGCTTGAGGTCAGACTGGTTGTCAAATGTATTGTTATTTTAAATTTGGGTGAATTAAACTTTGCTTAAGGACAAATTTCACCAGTTCTCCAGAGTTCTCCCTTAACACAAAGCATGCGTGTGAAAACCACAAATCACACTGCGGTATTTTTCCTCCCCATTGACTCTCCTTTGTCTCCCTCCTGGCACCCATCCGCCTATGAAGTTAAGACTGAGAAGTAGAGCGTTATTGTGACATTTAAAGCTAGTCACTTAATCTCCAACCTCATTCCTCTTCCTTACACTTTCTCCCTTCTTCATTCTTCCTCCTTCCATCTCCTCCCGCCTTCGTCCAGACCCCTGCTAGGTCAAACTGCTCCCTGAGGTAATATTGTGAAGCAAGGCATAGTGCCGAGTGATCAACAGATCCCGCCTCACAGCCCCAGTGACTTTGCAGTGCAGTAGAAACTCCTCACATCATCACACGTCTCACTAAGCATGAATCACCGGCCTGCTATCTAGCCCACACTATACTGCATTTGTACTGTAATGTACTGTACGCCCATCTGCCTCTTACTCTTCCTCATTGACCTTATTAGCAATGAGGGGAAGAGAGATAAAGACAGACAGAGAGATAGAGCTCACAGGTGGACAAGGACCTAATGGCACGGTGGGGAGTTTGTGAAGAAGTGAGCGCATGCCCTCTCTTTCACACACGCAGACACACAAGCGGTGTGGTATGCTCGTCTAAAGGGTGTGTACTCTGTCATATCCTGTAATGGGTGTATATAAGCTGGTGTAATGGAGGTCGGGAAAAAGGCAGGGGCATAAATCTAGCCTGAAGTCTCTGATTAGGGCTATGATACACATACACACACACTGCTTTAAGTTTAAGTGTTTCTGGCAGCGAAGAGGAGCTGCCCGTGCAGAGGCCTGCCTCAACCCGCTACTCACTCTTTCTGTGTGTCTCTCTCTAGCTCGCTCTACATGCTCAGACCCCCTCCACCTGAACCCCTGACCTGAGAGTGCGTTAGGAGAGACATTCCCACTACCCCGAGGGGACCAAGCGAGGGAGGGAGGAGCGCAGATCAGAGAGATAAAGAATGCGTTTGGAGGAGAGGGAAATAAAAGGCCTCCTTTGCCTTCTAATTGGGATGGAGAAGAGAAGAGGGGAAATGGGACTCAACATGTTTCTGATGACTCTGGTGTATACGTGTGTGTGTTTGTCTAAGAGGCTGACACCTACCTTTGTACTGTAATGGATTAGCTAACAGCAAGCGCTAGGTGCCTGTGTTTATGTGTGCGTCTGGTGTGATTGATGAGTGGAGAGGAGCTGGGATGAGTCCTGTTTCGACATGTCAGCTTGTTCAGATGTTCCCAAAAAATTGAGCACTAATAATAATCAGAACTCTCCCTCTGGTTTCTTCCCACTGCTCTGGGTGTGTGGAGTTCAAACAAGCCGAGGCCAAATGCCCGGTGAGCTGGCTCACAACTGCTGACTCTCAGGCTTTGTTGGAGGGATTGGCTCTGTCAGATTCCTCCTGGTCACAGCTCGTCAGAACCATAAAGCCGGACCACTTTCACTTGTGTGTGTGTGTGTGTTTGTGCTGTAGTTTGTGTGGTGTGTGTGTGAGAGAGAGTTGTGTACAGTGTGTATTTATGTGTGCATCTGTGTTTACAGCAGCTTAGTGAGATAATAAGTCTTTATCATGTTATGCCTCATGTGGGAATATTTCCAGCAGTCCCAGAACGCCTGTTCTGTTTCCTCCGCCTTGCATCAGCTCGCAGGAACGCTGCTTATTAGGCAAAGAACTGAGGGAATAAGGGTGGGAGGGAGAGGTGGGAGAGGAGGGATGGGGTAAGGGAAAAAATGTCTGTACCAGTATCTACACTCCATCATCTATCTACTTTCATCTGTCTCTTGAATTATCTGTCTTTCTCCTACTCCCTGCATGCTGTCTTTCTCCCTCTGGTTATGCCTGGTAACTAGTGGCAGGTACAACCCTGGAAAACATCTAAGTTTTCACCCTGAAATAGAATCCATGTAGGTTATTTCTATGATCTTTGATAGTTCAATCAATATTTGTGAGCAAGAGGAACACTCTTCCCAGAGACAGAAATCTGAAAAATTGGAGCTCTAACCTGTTTTGTAATCAGGACACAGAATTTGGAGAAGCCTGTTCACAATGGGTGGCTGTGTGGATTCATAAAATATTTGGCTGTTACACCCAAAGGGGCTTTATTTTATAATAATTGACAGTCACGAACCAAAAAAAACACACATGAAAAAAATTACCAGGTTGCTGTCATTGTGTCCACAAAATGTCCTATTTACTGTCAGTGGAACCGCTACAGGGTCTGCCTCTTGAAAGCATCACAAAGGGTCTAAACTGTTTCATTTCTATGCTTTGACAGGGACATGAACACTGACATACACAGACAGATCAGAACTTAGTAAACACTTACACACCCATATTCTCACACTCGCACCCTACAAGCTGGCAAAGACTCCTCCACTAAATAAACAGTGACACTAGCCCTGAGGGAATCCTCTTTAACCCCAAACCCCAGAACAAACCCAACTATCAGGTCTGGGCTCTTGTGTCTCCATTAATCACTCTTTAGATTTATGTGTAAGAGGTGCAGCCAGAAACAATGAAAAGGAATGATAAAATAAAATGTCTGGTACATTGAGGCATTGTGTGTACATATGAAAACAGAAATAGGTAAACAAGGGTTGTACTATTAATGTTCCAGTAGTGATATGCCAGCAGTGACAATCGGAGAGAAAAAAGTGTCTTGTATAATCATGGTTTCAGGGCAGTTTCCAACACAGCTCTGCGCAAACTATATATCCTGCTAGTAAAGCACCTTCCTCATTATCTCTCCATGCAAGCAAATATTTGAATATTTAACTAACAAGGCTTTCTTGTGTGTGTCAAGACATGTTGATTTAACACCATCACCCTAAATGCAATTAAATGAATAAGTGACAGTTCATGAATTAAAGTAAATATGCATTGCTGCATCACTGTAATTCACTTGTTGCAAAAGTTTTTTTTTTTTTATTTAGTCAGTGAATTGCTAAGAATAATTCTGCATTTTATCTAATCTCAATACATTTGAAGTTTTGGATTTGTTCTGTTAGACATACAATACAAATGTATTAAAATAAACTGTTTAATCTAGGTTCAAAACTATATGTTCTTCTTTACTCTTCTGAAATGACAAAAGGGAGAAGGAGGATAGGAGGGATATCTGCGTGGCATTTCTGAGCTGACGTGTAGGGCCTATTAGCTTCAATAAAAAGAGAATGAGGTCAGAG